ACCACTCCTGCAGCCAGCTGCTTCACCCTGTTGGCTGCTGAGCCGTTAGCCCTGGGAAGATGCCCAGGCTGTCCACACGTGGGTTCTCTAAGTCCGCTCCTCAACCCAGAGCCTAACTGGGTTCTCTCATCCTTCATCTGTACTCCCAGACAAAAAGTGTCCCCTGTGAATTTTTGGTAAAAAATTACTTTGCAGGCCCACCACAATAGCACAATTGGCTAATCCTCCACTTCCAAGTGTTGGAATCCCACATAGGTACTAGTTCTTGTCCTGGCTGCTCCACCTTCCTTCCAGCTCCCTGTTTGTGCCTGGGAAAGCAGCAAAGATAGCCCCAAATCTAGGGACCTTGCACCCATTGGAGAGATCCGGAAGAAGCTCTAGGCTCCTAGCTTCAGATCAGCTCAGTTCTAGCTGTTGCGACCATTTAGGGAGTGAGCCAGTAGATGGAAGATATTTTTCTCTTTCTGTCACTCCTTTTCTCTGTAAATCTGCTCTTCCAATAAAAATAAATAAATCTTTTTAAAACTACTTTTCTTGTGTTTATTGCATGCACAAGTGGTTCTTGCTGGAAACTGTACTAAGCCCCAATTTTGATTCAACCGATCTAGAAGCATAAAATGTTTTCAACATCCCTTCACGTCATCCTCAACAATGGCTTTCTAAACTTCTAGGGCGGTCAACTACTAATGATCTACTTTGTCTTTAAAAACTTTTCCTTAAACCTTAAAAAAAAAAAACAAGAAGGATCAATGTTTTACCAGGGGTCCTTATTACTTTCAAAACCAGAAATAATCCTTTATTTTTACAAAATGGCAAAAACATTTCTCCCTAGGGCAAAGGGAAACAATGAGCACAATACTGTGGTGACTAATGCTCAGAAACATGACCGGATTCCCTTTTTATCTCAGTAAGTAGCTCACCCAACAGGGCACAGCACAAAGTAAGGCTTGGCAGAATGTAATTTATACGACAATTGGCTTTTGCTCAATGTTAAATAAGTCAATTGAAAGTTGGGCTTTTTTTTTTTAACTGTGGTTGCAAACAAGTTGGGGGAAAAAAAAACACCAAAATTGCTCTATTCCAAGGCCAAAACACAGTTTTATATAGTCTGCAAATAATTTAATATTTGAGGAGCCTTTTGAACATTTTCCAACTCCAACCAAAGCTAAAGCATTACCAAGGGGGGGGGGGGAAGGAAGCAAGTAAGCAAATAAAACCCAATATCTATATAATTATCCATAGATCAAATAATTTAGGGACAGTAAAATTAAGCAATATTTTAGCAAGTTTAAATGCAAGGTAATGAAATGTCTGTTCTCATACTAATATATCAATAGAGATTCTAATTTAACTGTTAATATATTTGAGATGAGTTCATTACTAGCCAAAGATTTACAATCAGTTCTCTGTGACTCAACAATCCCAGGCACTACACAGCATGGTTAGTCCATTAGGCTTTCTCTCTTCCATCCTCCCTAGACACAACTGGTAAGAACAGAGAAAATGCCACGATGCAGAGCTAGCAAGGTCAAATGTATACCAGTGGACCTCTGCTCTGCTCTTCTGTTCACTGGAAGAGCTTTCCTTTGGAGAACTGCCCCTCCCATATGACCATTCTACTCCCAGCCCCTGTTGAAACAGGCTGGCTCCTGACTCAGCTAGCTTAATCCCAGCCGTCAGCACCTTTCGGGCAGGGTTTGTACAGGAATGTTCCTACCATCCAGTGAGGGCCAGTTAGAGATATTTCCTGAAATGCTCCTCCCTGGAGCCCTTTAGGAGAGAAACAGAGAGTTGAAGCTTAGAGCTCCCTGGGCCTAGTCTCAGCGAGAACACTTGTCCAATTGATCCTGCAGAGCGATGCGCAAACAGGAAGATCACCCTCGGATCCCACCCTCCCATGGCAGAGCTGCCCTTCTGACCTTTGGATACTATGATTAGAAAAGACAGCCGATATCCCTTTAAGCACTGTGCTTTGCACTGCTGGGTGCCACTTGCATTCAAGGATTCTAGAGGAAGGTGCACAGCAACCACTGATGTTTGCGCACAAGAATATTCTCAAAATGTGGTGTTTGTAACCCTCAGGGATCATTCCCAAGGTCTCATTCCTGCTCCGTGACCCTCTGGATCACTGGTCCATCGGTGGTACTGGATCCAACCAAAGCTTCATCTCCACACATAGTAATTTTGATCTGAGGGGGAGTTATCAGGAGCTGGGCTACATGTCTGATGACACCCTATGGAAAAGAAGACTACACTCCACTTCTGGTCTCCCTTGAAGCTTTCATGTTTGATCCCATCTTGAACTCAGTGAGCTACTCAGTCCCTTGAAGACATTCTCTCTCTGTGTCTTTCTACTGCTGACTGCAAGAAGTTCATTCTTCAAATCAAGAGAACACACAGTTACATGCCAAAATAATAGTTTCTGTATGTCATTGCATGGCTTAAAGCTTTTAACTACAGGAAATGTAAGGCTTCAATAAAACTGGCATTGGTAATAAGCTTTGTTTCATCTTGGATGACAGCCCAGAGGTAGGCTGGTTCTAGTGTGGTACCGTTGGCCTCTTGAATGTCACTGGGCTCTCTTGCTTGTTAGTTCCATATTTGGGCTAACTTCTCTCAAAGACCTATGTTCCCCAAAGGCACCATATGGCTGCTACCAACAAGTGGGGCTCGGTTGTCATTCACAGCCAGCAGGAGACAGAGAGATATCTCCATGCACAGAAAAGCATCATCACATTTGGAAATATTGTCCTGGCAGTGGTGTGAGAATCTGTTTAGCGGCCATAACTGACTAAGGTTGGTCACTGCCTGGCTGTCTGAGGGTGAGAAGGGAGAAGCTGAGTCCTGTTCTTGAGGTGGGGCCAAAGCTGGTTTGGTGACAGTGATGACACCACAGGATCAGTTTAGTGTTTCCTCATGCATCACTGAAGCCTGCCCAGGAGTCTGGCTAGAACCTGCAAAGCCCCAACATATGACAAGGAGTAATGTCTTCATGGCCAAGATATGCAAATTATTTCTGTGAATATCTTGCTTGTGTACAGAAGGACCATGTCTGTGAAGAGTCAACCACCAGAATGGCGCACTGACATTCAGCGGGCATCACGGCTGTGAACAGTCAGTGTTCCAGGTGAATACTGGCGGTGCCCACATGGCATCAGCTGGAACCTTCCTTCCACCCCAGTTTTGTTCATGTGCATGCCATGAAATATCAGGCAGCCTTGAAAATAAACAAATAAACAAAATAAGCATTGTGTTTATTCATTTGAAAGTGGCTAGTTACAATGCTTTCATCTCTGTTGCGGATAATGGTGCCGAACAGGCTGTGTTTTGGAGAGGACCCTTTAGTAATGTGAAGCAGTCGTGTGGCATCTTGCCCTCCTCTCAGCAGCCACGAGATGCAGTGAACAACGGACGGGGACAGCAAGGACGGCAAGGGCGTACACTGGTAAGTAAAATAAGAATGGCCCTTAATTGCTCAAGATCTCCTCCCCTCTCCCACCTAAACAGCGAATTAGTTATTGCCAGGATTAAATTATGCAAGCAAGGAGCTTATGCAAATACAAGGTCAGATCTTATCCCCATTTAAAACTGGAATTATTTGCCATGAATTTGGGGAGATGCGAATTTTGATGTTTTTAAAAAGTATTGTGTTAACAGGATTTATCTTGATTCCTGAGTTCCCTGGTCTCACCCAAGGCCAGGTGCTGTCACACCTCCCTGTTCATTTTTATTTGTCCTTCCTCTAGAAATAAAATAAGCAATCTTGAAGAACGCTGAGAGTCCTTGCGCCCAGCCTAGGTGGAAAGATTGGCAGGCAGGCACTGTGGCCAGAAGAGCCTTGGGATTTCACCTCTCATTGACCAGAGCTGCCTGGATTTCCAGGATTCAGCAGCACAAGGCCAGGAAACAAGACCACTGACTTTGAAGCTAACCACTATTTCAATCCAGCTGTGTGGCACTGCCAAAACTATTTAACCCCCCTGTGCCAAAGAGTTCCCAACCCAGGAACGACAATCATGGAAAGCTTACTTCGGAAGAGCTCCATGAAGGAATAACAAGGGAAAGGACCCTGTTGCCATCTGATGAGCTCCTGGAGTCATGAACTCCCTTTCTCAGGACTTACTTCCTCTCAGTTCTGTGCCTCTGCCCACCATGACAAGCGACCTCCTTAAACCTGCTCTCTCCTCTGCTCCAGGAGAGGGAAGCCAGGCGGCCACCAAGGGGGTCCTTTCCCTCCCAGGTCTGTTGCTAATGAAACTTTTGTGTAGAGAGGACCGCAATAAACGAGAACTCATTGTTTCTTAAACAGAATTTTCTTACGCTATTTGCAACAGGAAAAGGTGTCCTTGGAGTCCACTGTGAGCAGTCTTGTGCTCTGGACCTGCCAGGCTGCTGGAGGATGCACTAGGATGTTGAGTTCTGCAGTAGTTTCACCTGTGCTGTCACAGCTTTGGGGAACAAAAATCCTAATATGGTCAAAAGCAAAACACTGAAGCGCAGCTATATCTCTCTGTTCGCACTACCTCCTTCAGCCAAAAGTGGTGTAAACGGAAGAAAAGCCATGATTCTGGACTCCCCCTGGCTGGTGGCAGTCTCTCCCTGCAAAAGCAATGAAGACCCCCAAAGGCCTTGATCTGTAAGGACTTGCACGGGAAGCTCCATCCACCCGTGTACCTCCTTGGCTCTGTGTGTTTCTTCTGCACTGTTTGCTGCACCATCAGTAAACGCGTGTGAAAAGAAAAGATCTGATCCTCCTTGGTCCTTCTACACCTTTTTCAATGTTGCAAAACACCTTGTCTAGCTCAGTCTTGTGGATATTATCGCAACATCCCACTATTATTATTGTTGTTAGGCACAGATCCTAATAATTAGTTAAATCACTAGCCTGATGAGAAATATAATTACATAAGCAAATAATCTGGTGAAAGGTCAGTGTAAGAACCACACTGGCTATAATGTTATTCAAGCAATCATGGCAAGACCTGAGCACGAAGACTTACCAGCACTGTGTGCATGCCAGTGTAGAGTCGGCTGAGACACACCAAGGCGGAGAACAGCACAGCCATCACCAGCCCCCAAACGAAAGGATACTGTGGGGAGAGCAAGGCACACAGGCACTCAGAGCATGTTCAGGCCCAGAAGGCCTGATGTCACAGATGAGAAGATCCATTCTATCTTGATTGCTAGGTTGAACCTTCTAACCTTCTTTCACCCCATAAACCAGCAGTACCATTGTATAAAAACATGTTTGAAATGAGAGAACATACAAAAGAAAAAGGAAGGGTTTGGCACTGTGGTGTAGCACATCAGGCTGCTGCCTGAGCTGCCAGCATCCCATATGAGCATGAGTTGAATTCCTGGCTTCCTCACTTCTATTTCAGCCCCCCAATCATGCACCTGGGAAATCAGTGGAAGATGGCTCAAGTCCTTAGATCCCTGCGCCCCATGGGAGATCCAGAAGAAGCTCCTGGCTCTGGGCTTTGGACCAGCCCGGCTCTGGGCATTGTAGCCATTTGGGGAATCAATCAGCGAATGAAAGATCTGTCTCTCCTTTCTTTCTCTGTAACTTTTAAGTAAATATTTTTAAAAAGAAAGGAAAAGGGAAGGTATCCAATAATATAGTTCTGGAAGGCTATTTCACTACATACAAACATGTAAATAAGATACCGTGGCAGAACTTGGCTTTGAGGTTCATACCCATGCTATCTGGGCCCTGGAGAGTCTGGTAGAAGGATTTGGTGGAACCATCTCATTACTGGAGAATATTTTACTAGGATTATAGCTCTTTCTGTCCTTTTCAGACAGATGAGAGCACTGATTGAGGTGCTGTCTGGGCAGGCAGCTCAGGGAGAAAATGCTTCCTGACCGCACAACATGCAGCGGTCACCTGGGGCAACCCACGTCACACTGGTTGTGCTGGTGTGATTGTTCATGGCAAACCCTGATTGGGGAACTAAATGACACAGCCATGTCATTTGTGGAGTCATTATCATTGAACACTCAGTGGGTTCCAGTTCCCCTTAGACTTTGGTGTATAAGTCTTACAGTCCCTCAAAGTGGCTTTAAGAGGAAATTATGAAATGTAGCTGCAGGCTTCATGGCAGCTGTGGACCTGGAATGAAGAAGAGTCTGGCTTCCTCACCTGGTATCTGTCCATAGAGGAGAGAAGGAGAGTAAAGGAAATGGCGGTGGCTGCCATGGCGTGGGTGGATGGCATTCCAAACTCAGCAATCACTCTCTTCTCAAGTTTCACAACAGGAGGGGAAGAGGGACGGGGCCACTTCAAGATGTCCTTGGTCACTTGGCCAACATACATCACCAACTGCAAAAGCAAGGGGCTTGGGTCAGTGTAATGAAATCATGCACGGATTGATTTTGGGGGGTTCCCAGTTGTCAGTTTAAAGCATTCTCTCTCTTTGACCACATATATATTTAGGAAGTCTTACAGCAAATGTTAGTGAAAAGATAACAGGTTTTCTGGATTTAACACGACAACTGAGTAACCAACAAATGACATTTATGTGTGTGTGTGTGTGTGTGTGTGTGTGTGTGTGTGTGTGTGTGTGTGTATATACTGAACTAACACTTATAAAGATCAAATATGTGCCCAGGCTCTATTCAAAGAGTTTAGCTCTCTTGATGCAACAACCTTGGACCCATTTTACAGGTTAGTCAACACTTACGTCCCTAATCACAGGCAGAATTGGTAGTGGCACAGGAAGTCTGGCTTCAGACCACGCTTTAACCTAACACAGAAACCCGGGACGATCCTGGACCAAATGGAATCTAATATTTAAACAACTTTTTTTTTTTTAAAGTTTTAACCACAAAAATGACCACTCTTACAGATCAACTTGTTAACATTTTCTGAATGTATTGTAATCCCTTCTATATGTGGATAACATATTGGATTTAATTTAACTTCATTTATCAATTGGGCATTTCTATTAATAAATAGACAAGTTTGTATGGAGATTTCTCAAATGCTTTTTCTGTGACACCACTAATGAAGACATCTCTTTCCTCCAGCCCCCCTTGTTTTCTAAAGCATAAGACAGATCAGAACTTGATGTCTGCATGCTCCAAAAACGAACAGAAGTGTTAACAACAGGTGTGTGTACTTTGTCAAATAGCTTTACAGGACATTTTGATGACTCACAGGAAAAAAGAGAAGAGTAAAATCTATTCCTAAGTATCTGCCCATGAAACTCAAAGTGTGGTCTGAGAACTGGACCCTGAGAGCTGTTTCAAACACACATGCCCAGCCTTCCCATACCACAGCCCGGCCCAAGCCAGGTGATGTGTGCAGGGGGCTTTGAGCAGCACAGCTCTGTGGCCTGATCCCACACAGCTCATGCTGCCAGCACTTCCTCACACACCTTCTCATCTTACCACGACTGCAGGGACCTTACCAGGGCTTTCTTTACTTGTGATGGGTAATATCACCTTGCTTTGGAACAAAACTCAATATTTCAAAGTAATTTTGATTAGTCAGCTGGGTTACTTTAGGAAGTCCCACACTCTATGGCTTTCTTTTCACCCCTTTAGTTGTAATTCTGAGCATTATTCCAGCACCCTCAGATTCCCGGCAGAAGGCGCTAGGTGTGCTGCTCCAGGTTAAAAACGGAGAGGCACTGCCTGTGCACAGCAGGCCAGATCCAAGGCTATAAAGCAACAATCGCCCTGAATGCCACGGCTGTGACTTCTGATCGGACTTTGAAACTTAACCTCCGTACCATGCTCTTATTATCAGGAACTGCTCTCCTGGAAAAAGGCGCATTCTTTTTTATGTCTCTGCCTCCCTCCTATGACCCTGTAAAAACCACATCTAACTACAATCTGGGGGAACTGAAAAACCTGAAGATATTATTGAACACTGAGAATTTACTTTCAACCCATCTGTTTCCTCACCCACCCACCAGCACAATGTTCAGACATATGGCTAATTTAGCTCACTAATATAATAATAACAACAACAAAAACAACAACAATAATAATAATAACTACTGTCCCTACAGACAGGAAGCCTTAATGTTGTAATGTGAAGGCTCATGCGGGGTGAGCTGTAACCAAAGTTTGATTTCATGAATTCTTCTGACTTTGACATTTATACTTCACCTTTTCTATTTGGTGTTTTTTTTTCTTTTTTTAAGAACTAGGACAATGGTTTATTTCATTAAACAATATTGCCACAGTTATACAATGAAATGATAGCTCTCTTAAAACTAGAGAAAACAGCTACATTTTTATGTTCCACTGAAAGACTGTCACTTCTGTCTCTACCATCACCATTCCTAAAAGTGAGTCCTTAAGTAGAGAAACAAGGATTTAAATATAAGGCAAAAAAAAAAAAAAGAAAAGAAAAAAAGACTTAGCAGCAGAATTCTATGAGGAGACAGAGAGGCTTTGGTACAAGCAGGGGGGCGGGGCCCTAATATGAGGGATGCACAGGGCGGTACCCAGGTTACTGGGATTGAACAAGCAAAGGTTGGGAGAAGTGGTGTTGGATGTTTCACAGTGGACGTCGCAAGGGGGTCAGGCCCAGAGCTGCATATCAAAGTGCATGGTTAAAGAAAACAAAACTGTGTCAGCTGTTGGTGAGGATCTGTAGAACCTGGAGCTCCCACCTGCCACTGGGGGAATGCAAGGTGGTCCACTGCAGGAATGCAAGGTACTCCACTGGGGGAATGCAAGGTGGCCCACTGGGGGAATGCAAGGTGGTCCAATCAGTTTGGAAAACAACTCAGTGACCTTATGAGAAGCAAAACATACACTAATACTATCTAACCTTGCCACTAGAGATATTTATCTGTGAGCAATGAGAATATGTGTTATACAAAACTTTCATACATGAATTTTTACAGGGCCATAGGAGGGAGGCAGTGACATAAAAACTTGCATACTTTTTTCTGTCATAACTCCAAACTGGATACAATCCAATTTCCATCAATATGGGAAACAACTTGTGATATAATCATACAATGCAGTACTACTCAGCAACAAAGCTGAATGAACTACTGACACATGCTTACAACATGGATGATCTCATAATTACACCAAAAGAAGCCAAATCACAACAAAATACAGTCTAGATAATATGATACCATTAGCATAAAATTCTTGATAAAATGCCAGTTATTATATAGTGACAGAATGCACACAAGTACAAAGGAGGGCAGAAAAAAAATACAAATAGACACCAAGAAACCTCTAGGATGATACATATTATTTTGCTCATGGAAATAGTTTCCAAGCAGTACATATGCTAAAACATGCTAAATTGCACTTTTAAAAATGTGCAAACTTTGTAAATACAGCAAGAATTGCTCAATTGTGTAAATTACATGGTATATGGATGATAAGCCTGTTAAATTCATATCGTTTTTTGGTATGTTGGGGAGGCCCTCAGGATTGAGAGGGGGAAAAAAAACAGTTAAACAGATAATTTAAAAAATCTGAAAGATAAAGGTGTGATGTTTCAGCAGAGGACAGAAAAAAATGTTTTCTTCTTCTTTTTTAAGACGTAAGAATGCTGAACAAGTTTACAAGTGGAAGAGGATGACAAAGAGAAAGGAATTACACAAATGAGAAAGAAAAAAAGCTGTTGCCACAGGGACTCTGAAGCAGTCAGGTGGGGATTTTTAGGTTGAGAGAAGTGAGCCACCAGCCCAGCGCAGGGATGGGATGCGCTGGAAAGCGCCACCGGATGGTGGAGCACTGGCACGGTGGCAGGCAGCGATGCCGCCTGGCCTCCAGCACACTGTGCCACTCTAGAAAGACAGAGCTCCGTGTCCAAGGTGACTGTCCAGCATTCTCTCAGACAGCTCATGTGGACGAACAATTCATTCATAATCTTCTGAATTCAGAGCCTCACCATGTTTTGCAAGCAAGCACCACACAATTTCAAGCAAGGTTTGAGCACACACTGAAGTGTCCCTGCCTATAATTAGTATGTAAACTGAGAGGATCCTAAATATTCGTTTATTGTTTATTCCATCATCATTTTTTGTAAGAATGAGGTCACTAGTGCAAGTGCTGTGTACTGTATTTGGTACTTTTTTTTAAAATTTATTTTATTTTTATTGGAAAGGCGGATATGCACAGAGGAGAGACAGAGAAAGATTCTTCCGTCTGATGATTCATTCCCCCAAGTGAGCGCAACGGGCCGATACTATGCCGATCCGAAGCCAGGAGCCTCTTCCGGGTCTCCCACGCGGGTGCAGGGTCCCAAAGCCTTAGGCCATCCTCGACTGCCTTCCTGGGCCACAGGCAGGGAGCTGGAAGGGAAGCGGGGCTGCTGGGATTAGAACCGGCGCCCATATAGGATCCCGGGTGTGCAAGGCGAGGACCTTAACCACTGCTCCATTGCGCCGGGCCCTGTACTTGGTACTTTAAAGAAAGCATGCTTGCGTCTGAGCCATTGTAGTTGGCACACTCATGGTTGTGCTGTTGCATAAACAGTAAAGCCAATTTTGAAGATGCTATTCCTCTATGAACTATTCTACTGTAGATATGTCCCATTATTTAAAAGTAACTTTTAGCACAAGGCATATTATTCTTTAGAAATTAAACATGCTGGCCCAGCACAGTAACCTACTGATTAAAGTCCTCGCCCTGCATTGCCAGGATCCCATGTGGCTGCCAATGCATTTTGGTGCCAGTTCGTGTCCTGGATATTCCACTTCCCACCTGGCAGCTTCCTGCTTGTGGCCTGGAAAGGCAGTCAAGGATGGGCCAAAGCCTTGGGACACTGTACCCACATGGGAGAGCCGGAGGAAGCTCCTGGCTCCTGGCTTCAGATCAGCTCAGCTCCGGCTGTTGTGAGCACTTGGAGAGTGAACCAGCAGATAGAAGATCTTTTTTTCTCTTTTTTCCTTTTCTTTGTAAATCTGACTTTCAAATAAAAAATAAATACATCTCTAGAAAAAAAATTAAGCATGCGAAAGTTTGTGTTAGCTATGAATTTTATTTCAAGAAAGCAAAAGGAATTTTTCACCATATTTAATATTTAAAATGGGTACTTAAAATTTTAAATGAGGTATTTAGGAAGCTAGACACAAAAGACCATAGACTGCATGAATTCATGTATAGGAAATACCCAGAATAGAAAACTGCACAGACAGAGCATAGATCAAGGTTTGCCTGGGGCATGGGGGCGGGACATTTGAAAATCTGAACTCCAGAGGTCAGCAGGGTCCCAGTCACTTCGCAGCCTCTTTCCTTGCCTCCTGCAGTTCCTGGCGGCTGGAGGGACTCCTGAACGCGTGGTCTACAGCTCCCCTCCCTGCCTCTCTGGTCACATTCATCCCCTTCCAGCTCTTC